GCTCCCACAGGCCCTGCGGGCGCGCCCCCCCCCCAAATCCAGGCCCTGCGCTTTGTGCCAGCCCCTTGGCTAAGAGGGTGTGGGCTGGATCATCGCCAGGGTCTTAAGAGGTGGGAGCCCCAGACCCAGGATAAGGAGTGGGCACCGACCTCCCTGTTCACATTCAGGAAGATGAAGACCCTCACGGCACTCACACAGTCAGACACGGACACATGGCCCCAGCCCTCCAGGAGAAAAATGAGCCCGGGTGCAGACACAGAACCAACCAACCTCTCCTCTCCCTCTCTCTCTTTCTCTCCCCAGCCCCCTCTTCCCCCTCTGTCTCTCTGCCTCTGCTTCTGTCTCTGTCTCTCGCTGTCTCTCTGTGTCTCTGTCTAGCCCTCGCTCTCACACACGCACTCAGATACACAGATGTATGCACACACATTTTTATCTGGGTTAAAATGGTCTTGGAAACTGCAGGAGGAGGGAGTCACTGTGTGTGTGCACGGCTGTGTGCCTGGGGGTGAGCCTGTGTCGGGGGCCCTGAGAGTCCACCGTGAGAGGGCGTGCCCATCACTGCTTAGTATGTGAGTGGGTTGGTGTGCGTGTTTGTGTGACCTGCTCTCCTCCCGGTCTCTTGAGAACGGTTTGGGGTTGGCCTGTGTTGGGGCAGAGCCTGCTGGTGTGGGTGTATTTGTGTGTACTCAGAGATGCTGCATGCAAAGGAGGGCTGGGAACCAGAGGGTAGACCCAGGGCCGAAGTACCCTCCCTGCACCATCCCAGCCTGCTCTGTGCCCTTGGATAGGCCATTTTCCCTCGTAGTGCCTCAGTGTCCCCATCTGTAAATTGGGCATCCTAACAGCTTTCTCCTGTGGTCATTACAAGGCTTACACGAGCCGACCGGGATACAGTTTGCTGCATTGCAAGGGCTTACCCAGTGTTCCGGAGAGGCTATTGTTACCGGTATCGTTGCTGTTGCTGTGACTCGCCCATCCCCTTTCCCTCTCTGGTTCTATGGAAATGGCGGGGCAGGACAGATTGGGGAGGTACAGCCTGACTTCTCAGAGGACCCGAATCCCCACTGTCTGCTTTCCTCCCAGAACCCAGGGAGAGTCCCTGGACCCCCTTTCCTTCCCCATCCCCTCCCCGAAAACCAAGCTCGGTCCTGCGGCAGCAGCTGGCACGAGTCCCACCGGGGCTGTCTCTGCCTGGAGCACCCACAGTCTCTGGGCGAAGGAGGGGGTGCAGCTGGTGGCCTCTCAGCCTGTGCTGCCCCCTGCCAGGTCCCTAGCCCCCCTTACACACAAACTCCAGTCTCCTCCCTCCTCACCCAGCTGCCTCCCAGCCCTCCCTTCACCTGCCCACACCTGTCACCTCCACGGTTGCCTTGTCTGCTACTTCACCCCTCTCTCCCTCAGGTCCTCCCATGAGTCTGACTTCAATCTCTGAAGCCGCCACGAGGACCCCACAGGGCCTGGACGGGGTGGGCGGTGACAGGAGGGTGTGCAGCAGTGACAGGAGGGTATGCAGCGGTGACAGGAGGGTGTGCAGCAGAGGGGCTTTCGGTTTAGCTGAGGGTGCAGGGGGTGGGGAAAATGCATCTCTTCGCTAACATCCCTGGGAGGGGGAGAGGGAGCGGGAGTGGGGGGGAGAGGAGGCTGGGACCCACCCCACAGGGGATCACGCAGGTGGCGAGGGGACCGGGTGGGTGTTGGGATGGGAGCGAGGTCCTCGCCGCCTGGCTTGCTCTTCCCTCTTTCTGCCCCCTCGCCTTGTCTGTCTGTCTGTCTGTCTGTCTCTCTCACTCCTCTGATGGATCTACCTTTTTGAAATCATGCAAAGAGCTGGGTTTTGAATCTGGACGACTTCCGCACTTACTGGCTGAGTGACCTTGGACGGGCATTTCCTCTCCCCTAGCCTCAGTTTTCCCCGCTGCAGAATGGGCGTAGAGTCTTGCCAGCATGGAGAGGATGAGCTAGTGCTGGGCTGGGCGGGCCACGCTTCCCTCTGTCTGCCCCAGCCTGCTGGGTGGGTCCATTGGCGGCTGTCGCCCTCCCTGCCCCTTTGGTTCTGGGCATGGGACAGGGAGGCGGCGATGGGGCTGCCTGGGTGTTGGCAAGCACCCGGGCCACGTGGGCTCCTGTCCCTCACTGAGCCTCTCCCCTCTCTCTTCCCCCACCCACAGCCCCCCAGCGTCCACGCGGAGCATGAACATTGAGGATGGCGCGTGCCCGCGGCTCCCCGTGCCCCCCGCTGCCGCCTGGTAGGATGTCCTGGCCCCACGGGGCATTGCTCTTCCTCTGGCTCTTCTCCCCACCCCTGGGGGCCGGTGGAGGTGGAGTGGCCGTGACGTCTGCTGCCGGAGGGGGCTCCCCACCGGCCACCTCCTGCCCCGCGGCCTGCTCCTGCAGCAACCAGGCCAGCCGGGTGATCTGCACACGGAGAGACCTGGCCGAGGTCCCAGCCAGCATCCCGGTCAACACACGGTACCTGAACCTGCAGGAGAACGGCATCCAGGTATGCAGGGCCAACAGGTGGAGGGGGACCAGGGAGGGGGGCACTGGGGAGACGTGCAGATGCAGTCCATCCCTTCTGGGCCTCCCCACACCGGCTCTTCCCTGTCTCCAGCACCCGTGGACTTGCGGGTCTGCATCCGATCACCTGGAGCTGGGCTCCCGAGGTGGAGTGGGGGCTCTCTGGGCTTTGGGACCACAGTGCTCCCTGTCTCTGAGCCACTGTGTTGGGGTCCAAGTGCAGGCCGCCTGCCCAGCCCCCAGCACGGGACAGGCGGGTCGGCCTAGGCCAAGCCCTGGAATCACTGGGGTGTGGAGAGCAACCCTTCCGTGGGGACCTCTGTGGCATCTGCACCACCACACTCCCTCGTGGCCTTGGGAAGGTGGCGGCATGATTCTGAGCCTCAGTTTCTTCATCTGAAAAACGGGGACGATGCGAGCCCATGTGTTGAGGCGTTGCTGTGAGGGCTGAGGACTGTGGGTCTCGTACTTGGGGCTTTAGCCTGTGTGCTGGCACCTGGCGAGTGGTCAGAGGATGGGAGGCGTTGCCATGGTCATTTGCCGGGCAGTGCAGGGTTTGCGTCCCCATTTCCTGGAGCTGGTGTGAGAATTGGAGAGCAGAGAGGCTGAGATCGCTCTGGTGCCTGGCGCCGTGGTGGCCTGTGGCTGCTGCTCAGGATGGAGCAGCTGCCACTCGATTAATGATGACTCTGATTAGGATAGGCCATAAGCGAAGGCTTGGGGGGACAGAGCTGTGCTATTAGAAAGCAGGGCTTCTCAGTCTCTGCCCTAGTGACATTTGGGGCCAGATCATCCTTTGGCGGGCAGGGTGGGGGGCTCTGTCCTGTGTGCTGTAGGATGTTTAGCAGCATTTCCGGCCACTAGATGCCAGTAGCACCCCACCCCCAGTTCCAAAAATGTCTCCAGGCATTGCCAGTGATTCCTGGGGGATCATTACCCCAGGTTGATTTGGTCCAACTCCTGCCTCCAAGCAAGCGTCTTCCTGCCCCAGCCTGTAAAGCTGGGAGAGAAGAGGGCGCCCGTGCCAGAGGTCCCAGCTCCCCCAGATCTAACCTTCCAAATAGAAGTGCAGCTGCTCTTCTGACTGGTCCCTGGGAAGGCGGGGGAGGACTTGGCCGCTCCCATCTGACTATCCTGAGAGCCAGACTCAGGGAAAAAAGGGAACCTCTCAGGGGAGCAGTCTCTTCTTGATGGCTGTGGGGCAAGGGCCAGTGAAGGGGTCCAGAAACATCAGGGGCCTCGTCACCACCCCCTACTCTTGCAAGGTCTTGTCCCTCTGTCCACACCCACCCCCCACAGGCTCCCATGTCTGCCAGTTTGCTTTGAGTCTGCCCTGCATCTCCCTAGCTGCAGTCTCCACCAATCCGTCCATGTCTCCCTTGAGCAGGTGACATTCCGCACTGTGTGGTCCCCATGCACCTGCCCCCGGCTTCCCTGCACTCTATCCTTCCCCTACTTATACACGTGACATTCAACAGACACCAGCAGCACCGGCTCTGCGCCAAGCCCCGTCCTGGGTGGTGAACGAGCAAGGCAAAGCCCAGCCCTAGCCCCGGCAGCTCACCTTCTAGTGGGGAAGAAACGAGGAGGAAAAGGAGCCAATGGATGGAACGGCACGCCAGGGAAATGCGCTTTAGAGAAATGGCCAGGGAGAGCGTGGGACGGGGAGGCACCCACACCACTCACCAGCAGCCCCAGGCCGTGGCAACAGCGCCGTCGTAAAACCTGGACCTGTATCTCTTTGGGGGGGGGGGGGTGCTCAGTGAACAATTCAGTCCCACAAACATGTGCTAAGCGCCACCAGCGGACGTATGTTCATTTATGATTTATGATAAGTGACGCACAGGCCCACTCCCTCCATATATCACGCACCTGGTAAAGCACACACCGAGGTGGACGTTGTCAGAGAGTGAAAAGCATCAGTAGGAATCCAGATACCTCCATTTCTCATTTCCCCCCCCACCACCAGGGGTTCTTGCACCACCTCCAGAGACGGGGATGGAGGGTGTGTTCGTCCAATTCATGAGAGTGGATGCTTGTGAGTGTTTGTCAGTGGGCTTGACCTCCCTCAGTGGACACATCCCAGACAGCATGAGGCATGGACCACGTCGAGCGTAATCAGAGGCTCTTTATTTATTTATTTATTTTTTTTTTTTTTTTTTTTTGAGACGGAGTCTCACTCAGTCTCCCAGGCTGGAGTGCAGTGGCGGAATGTTGACCCATTGCAACCTCCACCTCCTGAGTTCAAGCGATTCTCCCGCCTCAGTCTCTTGAGTAGCTGGGATTACAGGCACCTGCTGCCATGCTCAGCTAATTTCTCTTTTTTTTTTTTTTTTTTGGGACGGAGTCTCGCTCTGCCGCCCAGGCTGGAGTGCAGTGGCACAATCTCGGCTCACTGCAAGCTCTGCCTCCCGGGTTCACGCCATTCTCCTGCCTCAGCCTCCCGAGTAGCTGGGACTACAGGCGCCCGCCACCTCGCCCGGCTAGTTTTTTTTTTTTTTGTATTTTTAGTAGAGACGGGGTTTCACCGTATTCGCCAGCATGGTCTCGATCTCCTGACCTCGTGATCCGCCCGTCTCGGCCTCCCAAAGTGCTGGGATTACAGGCTTGAGCCACTGCGCCCGGCCAACGCTCAGCTAATTTCTATATTTTTAGTAGAGACGGGATTTCACCACGTTGGCCAGGCTGGTCTCGAACTCTTGACCTCAGGTGATCCACCCGCCTCAGCCTCCCAAAGTGCTGGGATTATAGGCGTGAGCCACCGCGCCCGGCCCAGAGGCTTTTTAAAACTTAATAATTTTTAGCCTGGCGCGGTGACTCATGCCTGTAATCTCAGCACTTTGGGAGACTGAGGCAGGTGGATTGCTTGAGCCCAGGAATTTGAGACTAGGCTGAGCCACACGGCGAATCCCCATCTTCACTAAAAAACCAAAAATTAGTCAGGTATGGTGGCATGCGCCTGTGGTCCCAGCTACTCAGGAGACTGAGGTGGGAGGATTGCTTGAGCCTAGGAGGCAGAGGTTGCAGTGAGCTGAGATTGCACCACTGCACTCCATCCCGGGCAACAGAGAGACCCTGTCTCAAAAAAGTAATAACTTTTTAGTTATCCAAATAAAAAAGTGAAAAAATCACCGTAGTTCCATCACCAGATATAAATAACTACTGTTTATATTTTATTTTAATACCTTCCTGGCTCTTTCCTGTGTCTATGTAAATGGTTTCATTTTTAGAGACAGGGTCTCACTCTGTCACTCAGCCTGGAGGGCAGTGGGGCTATCATGGCTCCCTGCAGCCTCAACTTCCCTAGCTCAAGTGATCCTCCTGCCTCAGCCTCCAGAGTAGCTGGGATTACTTTTTTTTTTTTTTTTGAGACGGAGTTTCATTCTTGTTACCCAACTGGAGTGCAATGGCACCATCTCGGCTCACTGCAACCTCCGCCTCCCGGGTTCAAGCGATTCTCCTGCCTCAGCCTTCTTGAGTAGCTGGGATTACAGGCATGCGCCACCACGCCTGGCTAATTTTGTATTTTTAGTAGAGACAGGGTTTTTCCATGTTGGTCAGGCTGGTCTCAAACTCCTGACCTCAGATGATCCACCTGCCTCAGACCCCCAAAGTGCTGGGATCACAGGCGTGAGCCACCGCGCCCGACCTTTCCCCCCCCCCCCCCCTTTTTTATGAAGACAGGGTCTCTCTCTGTTTCCCAGGCTGGTCTTGAACTCCTGGGCCCAAGCAATTCCCCCACCTTGGCCTTCCAAAGTGCTGGGATTACAGGTATAAACCACCTAACCCAGCCAGAAGTGTATTTTTAATTACTTATTACAGAATGAATACAAATTAATTGAGGAAAACTAGAAAATATACCTAAGTAAAAACAGGACAGAAGCCAACCACAAATCCACAGCCACGGGTAGCTCTCCTTCGCTTTGGTGTCTTTGGATTCGGACACCCTCCCAACCCATGCGCAGTGCGTTGCACAATTGCTGCTGATTTGTAAATGGAGTTTTTGCTTTTTTCTTTTTTTTGAGATGGAGTCTCTATTGCCCAAGCTGGAGTGCAATGGCATGATCTCAGCTCACTGCAACCTCCGCCTCCCAGGTTCAAGTAATTCTACCGCCTCCGCCTTCCGAGTAGCTGGGATTACAGGCGCACACCACCACGCCTGGCTAATTTTTTGTATTTTTAGTAGAAACGGGGTTTCACCATGTTGGGCAGGCTGGTCTCGAACTCCTGACCTCAGGTGGTCTGCCCGCCTTGGCCTCCCAAAGTGCTGGGATTACAGGTGTGAGCCACTGCAACCCAGCCAGCATCCCGTTATTAACCAGGCCCTTCTTTTTTTTGAGATGGAGTCTGTTGCCCAGGCTGGAGTACAGTGGTACAATCTTGGCTCACTGCAACCTCCACCTCCTGGGTTCAAGTGATTCTCCTGCCTTAACCTCCCAAGTAGCTGAGACCACAGGTGCCCACCACGATGCCCGGCTAATTTTTATACTTTCTAGTAGAGACGAGGTTTCACCATATTGACCCAGCTGGTCTCGAACTCCTGGCCTCAAGGGATCCACCCACTTCACCCTCCCAAAGTGCTGAGATTACAGCCATGAGCCTCGGCCTCCTTATTTACAGTTTCTGAGTTGATATGAACAACACCAGGGGCACATCCATTGGCTCATTCTTCCTAATGTTCTGGACTCTGCCCTTGGGATAAATTCCTAGAAGCGAAGTTTCTGGGTCTGAGGGATGATGACAGAAGCACCACCCTGTGAGTTCTATGTGGCTTCCTCATTTGAGTGTACTCCTCCCTTACACACACACACACACGCACACGCACACACACACGCGCACACACACACGCACACGCGCACACACACACACACCAGGGCCTGGCACTGAAGCACTGGTAGCGACAGGCTGAATTCTGGGGATTCGAGAGCCTCCCGTGTGGCCTGCCGCCTTGGTTGTCATCTGTCCCCTGCTGTGCCGCCACCT